CAACAGCACCCCCACTTCAACCAAGGGTGGGGCCGGCTGGCCAACCTCCTGCAGCCCCTCCCCTCAGTTGGCCCAGCCCCCTGATCGGCCCCCTATCTCGGTTGGAGGTGGGGCTAGCAGGCCAACCTCCCATGGTCTCTCCCCCTGGCCAGCTGGCCCCCATCAGTCCCATTTGGGGCAAGCAGGCTGGATCCCACCAATGCATGAGTTCATGCACTGGGCCTCTAATATGACAATAAATGTGCAGGACCAGTGGTCTGGCTCCAATTACTGGTAAAGTCTCCTTGTAGAGATTTGAGGGTATACACCTCATGACAGAAGAGCTGTTTCTTTTAACTATGTAACTATCGGCCTAAATAAGGGTCCCCTTGTGATTGTGAAATGGAAAGAAAGAAAGAAATGGATTATAGAAATAACTTGGGAGATAGAATGAATACGACTTTCCCATTGGTTGGGAGTGAGGTGAGGGGTTCAAGAACAGGAAGAGACCCAGTTAGAACTCCCAAGGCCTGACTTTCAGTCATTTCTCTTTCAGCTGTGCCACTTGGCCCCTGGAGCTCTGAGTTTCTTTCCAACCAAACAAGATAAAATGCCTCTTCTACCTAGCCCATGGAGCAGTAGGAAAATCTACAGAGGGACTGGTGTCTTTCTGTCAATTATTACATGTCAACTGCTATGCTGGATCCATCCCACGGTGGGTATGAAAGAGTGGGATGTAAAGAGCAAGGTGTCCTGCCACACCATCAGAGGTCGGCCGACTGGAATGGAATGTGGGCTGTGGTCAGGACAGAGAGAAGACACTCCTTCACACAGAGAGGAGTTCACGGGCCAGCCATGCCACCAACACAGCTACCCGCAGAGGAGCTGACTAAATGGTGTCTGAGGAAAGAGTTCACCTACCTGCAGGAGCTGGCCCACACAGAATTACTAATGAGACTCTTCCTATAGGCCTTTCTCAGGCCAAATTCCCAGGCACTTTTGGCCGTCCCGGTGCCAGAGATCTATTAGAGTCCCCATCGGAGCAACATATGTCTTCTGTGGCATTGCCTTTATTCTTCGCGTTCCTACAAGCACGGCCTCCACCGCCATCTGACTGGATCGCTGCATGAATGGCTTCCTCCTGTACGACAGAAAGTGGAGAAAAGTGATAGAAAGGTCTGTGAATTGCCACACCTAACTATACAATTCCAGGGGTACCTAATAAATTTAATTCAGCCGATGTTTAATGAGAGCCAACCATGTGCGGGGCTACTGGGATGTCCTTCAAGGAAGCAGCATGATGCGAAAGAATTGTGAACGTTTCCATTGAGTTCACCGCACTTCAGTTGGTTGGTTTCTATCATTAGAACACCCAGGCTATGCATTGGAAACCTTGGGATGGTCAATTATGCAACCTGGGACACGTGTACGGAAAATTTTTTTTTTCCAACATAAAATTTTTCCATTGTCTTTTTTATTTTTTAGATCTTGTGATGCCCACAGAGCTACCAAAATAACCAGTGGCTACAACATCTGGGAGACCAAACAGACACAGGAAAAATACAGCAGAAGGGGAAGATCCATGAAAACAGGAAACATGGAGAGGAGAGTAAAAAGATGTCAAAACAAAGGCAGCCCGGGCTGGGCTAGGAGAGAGGGGCCAGGAGAGAGGCCACGGGGTCGTCGGCCGGCAGGAGTTCCTCAGGAGCCGTTAGAGAATTGGCGGGTGACGTAGTGCCGGGGCCACACAAAAGGACCACAGCCTTTTCACCTCCGTTTTACACAAAAGTCATGGCCCCCTTCAAAACCAAATAACACCATCAACTTCCCTCCCCAGCAGCTGACACACCAGCCCCCAAACAGTAACAGACACGAGAGAGTAGGGAGGGGACTCAGGTGCAGAGGCCTTGCTCTAACTCTGCCCAGCCTCATCACACAGGCCCTCCGCAGGCCCTCACGCGTCTCCTTCATCCTCTCGCTCTGCACTGACACTGGGTGAGGCCCGTGATATTTGATTGTTCAATTAATAATTGCCCAGCCTCGCCAAAACTGGTTTGGCTCAGTGGATAGAGCGTCGGTCTGCAGACTGAAGGGTCCCAGGTTCGATTCCGGTCAAGGGCATGTACATTGGTTGCGGGCACATCCCTGGTAGGGGAGTGTGCAGGAGGCAGCTGGTCGATGTTTCTCTCTCATCGATGTTTCTAGTTCTATATTCCTCTCCTTTTCTCTCTGTAAAAATTCAATAAAATACATATTTTTAAAATAAATAAAAAATAATTGCCCAGCCTGAATTTAAGATGCCTTTGACCCACCACCCAATACTGTTACCACATCGCTCTCTAGTCCAAGTGTTCAGCTCCAACAAGAGAAAAGTGCCCACCTACAGCGAAGAGGGGCAGCACCCAGAGGACCCTCCTACATGGAGTGGGCGCCCAGTCAATGTCGTTGATTAATTCATGGACAAGTAGAACGTTAAGAATTGGATGGGCACCTAGAGTTCAAGTCCAACCTTCTTCTTAGACATGAATCCCCCAACCATTGTGAAAAACAGAGAAACGTTCTTTTAAAACAGAGAAACTTTAGTTCCTGAGTCACCTGTGCCAGGCCACTACCCCCACAGAGGGACACTGGTTCACCTCCTCACATGGGCATCACAGTGGCTAAATGCTTATTTCTCTATTTTTTTCTTCAAATGACAAAAAAAAAACAAAAACAAAAAACAAAAAAAAACCTCCAATCCAGCACCTCATCTCCGTTCCTCCCTCCAGGTGCCAAGAGAAAATGTCACCTTCTGATTCAGCTTTCCCAGTAGTCTCCCTAACTTGTGAACTGCTCCACAGAAATCTGACCGCCTCTCGCTTTAGCAATTACTTCTGAAAGTAGCTGCTGATGCCACAAAAAAAACTCTCCTACTCCCAGGAGAAAATGAAAAATATTCAAACCCAAGAGCTGGACATTTAAGCCATGGAGTCCTCACCGGTCACCTTCTCGAGAGAAGGAGGGGTGGAAGTGGACAGCACCCTGTTCCCATGACGTCATGGAAACTTCCTTCTCCACCCTCCAAACTGGTCACCGCCCTGTATGCATGGAATCAGAAGGGGTTCAGAGTAGATCTCTGTTCTTACAATAGTTACACCAGCCGAAACCGGTTTGACTCAGTGGATAGAGCATCAGCCTGTGGACTGAAGGGCCCTGGGTTCTATTCCGGTCAAGGGCATGTACCTTGGTTGCAGACACATCCCCGGTAGGGGGTGTGCAAGAGGCAGTTGATCGATGATTCTCTCTCGTCGATGTTTCTAGTTCTCTATCCCTCTCTCTTCCTCTCTGTAAAAAATCAATAAAATATATATTTTAAAAAAAAAAACAATAGTCACACCAACTGGGCCTCAGCACCGCCAATTGCCCTACCCCTGAGTCTGAGAAGGGTGGGGCCATCCATCCCCAGGATCCGTGAGCCCTTAACCACGCCAGCTGCATGTGGATCAGGTACTGGGCGGAAAGAGCTTCTCTCTGGACACCTCCAGTCTAAGCCACAGACAGACAGCCACCTAGCACGCCACACTGTAAGTTAATTGCTTATGTGTTTCTTCCCTACTGGACTCCAAAAGGCTAAAGGTTTAATTATCTGATTCCTCAGTATCTGGCAAAAAAAATTAAATTAAATTAAATTAACAAGTAATTTTCAATTTTTTGAAAAACAAATAATATCTGCGCTAAAGCAACAATAACCTGAGACCTGAACAGAGAGGCCAATTGGTTATGGCATTCCCAGGCAAAGGCTTGGTGAACTCACATAGCCGTTAGGGGAAATGGGACTTTCTGAGACTAAAATCCCAAATCCAGAACGGACACCATGGGAGGGGAGTGGGGTTAGGCCGCTCCTACATCCCCAGAAACCTTTTCCTTGGGTCCGTTTAAAGTAATGGGTAAGGGAGCCAGGGGGGACACAATACCCACAAGAGGGCCCTCAGACAGGCTGGTGGAGGGGTCTGTGGCGGGCGCTTTTCCGCACAAAGTGACCTCCCTCTTGAACCCTTCTCTCTTCAGGTTCCTTTGAGAGGGTGCCAAGGTTTTGCTCGCTGGCACGGAGATCGGCTCCTTCCCTCAGACGCGGATGTGAAAGGCGAAGCAGGAGGGAGAGGCCGGGGCTCCAACGGGGAGACCCCAATAGAAGAAGGTCTTTCTTACTTTATGAGAAAGAAAACAAACAAACAAATAAAAAGATCTAAGGAAAAGGGAAAGAAAGGTAACCATGGAGCTTTTTCCAAGGAGCCTAAGACAGCGATCTCCGCCAGCCGGGAGTGGGCAAGTTCAGCTTTGTTCTGATGAAGGGATTGGAGGCTTATGTGGACCCGGAAAAAAAAAAAAAAAAAATCAGATGCCTCTGGACTGGCTACAGAAGGCTCGATCTGGTGGTGTCCATTCTGCCTGCTGGCTTCCTGCAGAGATGAGAGCCGCCCCCAAGACGACAGCCATTCTCAGAAAGTCGAGTTCTTGGCATGGAGCGGGGGCCCTCGCGATAAGGGATTAGATGGCTGGGGGCCTGCTCTGGCCTTCTCCCTGCCAACTCCGCCTGGAATTAAAATGCCCAGAGCTGAGCCGCCCATAGCAGACCTGCCCCCCACGCCACTCCCCACTCCCAATAAATCTGTGACCCCCTGGCTTCCCTGAAGTTGGAAATGAGATCAAGGCCATTGGGAGTTGCCTTGCTGAGCTTCTGGGAGAAAGGAATCCTTCCAACTGGAAGCAGGGAGAAAGACAAACAAGCCCCAAGATGAATCCAATTTCTATCTATATCAGTCATGGCAGGCTCCCGGGCACACACACACACACACACACACACACACACACACGGAACACACACACACGGAACTTATTTTGCTTTGAATGGCCCAGGTGGTACTCTAAACCAGTGTTTTTCAACCTTTTTTGGGCAAAGGCACACTTGTTTCATGAAAAAAATCACGAGGCACACCACCATTAGAAAATGTTAAAAAATTTAACTCTCTGCCTATATTGACTATATATAAAGTAATTCTCTTGAATAGGAATCAAATAAACACAAAGAAAGTATTTTATAATTACTTTATTATGAAATATTAAGTAAACAAAATAGTGAAAAATTATAAAATTCTTGTCTTGTCTGCACCTACGGCACACCAGGCAACATCTCGCGGCACACTAGTGTGCCGCGGAACAGCGGTTGAAAAACGCTGCTCTAAACAAGCAGAAAATTATTTCTCCTTCACTTCCCTGGAAAAGCAACAGCTACCCCTGGACTGCCAGGGGTCAGGGCTGAGGGATGGACTCAGCACCTGGACCCTGGTCAGTGTCATGCAGATTTTTAAAGGGCATGATCCAAGCAGGGGAGGAAATGCCTTTCCTGTATGTGATTGTCTTGGTTTATTCAGCTCCTGGAAAAAGGAAGTTAGCCCAAGTCCACTTACTAGTATTTAACAGAAATCAACCCAGCATTTCACTCAGTACTCTGGCCATTGTGGGGTCCATGGGCAGGGTCCCTAACTCACGTGCTCTCTTAAGGTTTGTGAGGCAAGCCTCCAGGAGCCTTCTAACCCTCCCCGTCTAGAATGTATTTCTTTCCTCATTTCCCTTCTCTTCTCAACCCCCCCTGCTCCTCACTCTACTCATATCTCCCAACTTCCCAGCCAGTCCCACTCCCACACAGAGCTCAGCACAGAAGCATAGAGATGGCTGACCACTGGCTCCTACAAAGTGGGCACAGCATAGACGATGAATTTGGAAAAAGAAATGGCTTTTTTTCCTTTCCAGGAATTCACTGTCTCGCTTACCCATCAAATGAACCTTAAACTTAAAAAGGGTTTGGGCATACTGGCCAGTTTTGCTCAGTGGCTAGAGCACTGACCTGCGGACTGAAGGGTCCCAGGTTCGATTCTGGTCATGGGCACATACCTTGGTTGCAGCGTAGGGAGGCAATCAATCAATGTGTCTCTCTCACATTGATATTTCTCTCTCTCTCTTTCCCCTACTCTCCCTCCCACTCTCTCTAAAAATCAATGGAATCCTCAGGTGAGAATTAACAAAAAATTTTAAAAAACAAGGACCAGAAAAGTTTGCTATTTCACAGCTCAGGAAGATAACTTGAGCAACCTCTTGGAGTTGACAATTAATGTGTTCTGACCACTGGGCAGCATATGGATCGCATACCTTCTATTATTTTAAATATATTCTTACTTATTTCAGAGAGGAAGGGAGAGGGAGATAGAAACCTCAATGACAAGAGAGAACCATTGATTGGCTGCCTCCTGCATGCTCCCTACTTGGGATCGAGCCAACAACCAGGGCATGTGCCCTGACTGGGAATGAAACCGTGACTTCCTGGTTCATAGGTCGATGTTCAACCACTGGGCCACACCAGCCAGGCTGGATCACATGCCTCCTGAAGGCCAGATCCAGCTGTAGACCCTGGGGTTATGGGACTAAAACAGAGAGAGATAATAGTTCTACCCTCACAAAACCCACCTTTTTATGGAGTCAGTGGATAATATACAGGTAAATAAAAGTAAGTAATACTTGTGCGAAGAAATTTCAGATAATAGTAAAAAACTATGAAGGAAATAAAAGCATGGTAACAAGACAGAGGTGGAGGTGGAAGGGGGACCACTGATTGACCTGTGGAGGGCAGAGCTGGCCCCTGTGAGGACATGGAATTGATGTGATGAGACGACCAACTCAGAGAGATCTGGGGGGGGGGGGGGGGGGGGGCTGGCAGGCAGAGGGAACAGCAGAGCGATGGAGGCTGAAGGAGAAGTGTCAGAACTCACCTGGGTTTAGCCCATTACTTTTGCCAATTACTCTTTCCTCAGTACCAGAAAAATCCCCTCTCTCCCTTCCTGAATTCTTTCCCCCCTCCCCCAAATAGAACAATCATAATGATCTCTTTCCCAATTTCTTCCTGCCAGGGCCTCTTCCCCTAACATCCACCCACACACAGACTCACACAGACACACACGGAGACACGCAGTGACTCGGCATACAGGGACTTCATAGAGAAAAGGAAGTTCCTCCTTCGAGACCTTCAGACCACCCACAAGCCGGGCACATGACCAACAACCTGAGTGCGAGGCCTGAGACAGAGGCCCCGGGGCTGGTCACACAGGCTGGAGCGTCAGAGAAAAGGGGGACGTGTTTTGAGACTGTCCCGTGTGGTTTTGTTTCTTCTTCCTCAGTTCTATGTGAGCAGCGCTGATAAATAGTGAGCTTTTCAATAAATAAAAAATAAAAATTAAAAAAATTAAAAAAAAGAAAAAACTACTCAGATTAAGAGTTAGTCTGAGGCAAGAAAGGTATCCTGGTGGCTGAAAAACAGAGCGACTTCTTTCTCTCTTTGCCCCAGTGGGCAGCTCCTCCCTCCTTGGCTCAGGCTGGGTTTCATGTCCCTGCACTCAGCCTTGTGGGATCTCCCCATTTCCAGCATCTCATGCGAAGGAACATTCAAGAGGTGACAACAAGGCTTTCATTCAACTTGATCATCTCCTCAAAATTAAAAAGAGAAAGGGGAAAAGAAAAAAAAAAGGGGATGAAGAAGAATAAAAGTTGGGAGAGGCCAGACTAAACGGGTATGATCTGAATGCATATTTGTGTTACAACTAATACAACCAGCATCAGAGAGGGACCAAGATTAAATAAATGGTGCAACCTGACAAAGAGAAGAATAGATGGTACGAGGAGCCATCTGTTTTGGAGGACACCCAAATCTGTCTGAATCTGTGAGGCCAAACGACCAGCTATTCTAAGACGCCCCATTCCAAGAGTGGCCTAATGCGTAGCTACACAATCACTTTCTCTCACCATCACTTTGGCTGCAACTTTTTTGCGCAATTAAATAATTTATTCCTTTCTTCAGCCTCCTGATTCTAATGAATCCGAGCCACAAACAAGCCTCAGTTGCTCCTATTCAAGGAGTCTGATTGCATCTGGCAGTGATTGCTGAGAATCCTGAAGAGGAAACAGGGAAGGGAAGCGTATTGTTGGGGGGGTGGGGGGGGGGTAATAGGTGAAGACCTGCCTCTCTTGACCTATAATACATTAGTGTCAGTGAACATTTGGCAGCCTTCAGATGATTAGCAATGAAGATGAATCAAGCAAAAAAGAGGTAGAAATCTGCCTCATCTGAATCACCACAACCGCATACATTTGCATGCTGATTAGCTGTTCTTTTGTCTGTGTTCCTAATTATTATGACACATTATGTCTTCATCATGCAAGATTCTGATCTGTCTTGTTCAAAATGCATGTAGAAAAAAGTGCTGTTTATTGATTCAACATGCAACTTTTATTTTTATGTTTGCTTTAATTAAATACATATTTGATTGCCTTTGACTGCTGTCCCTTTTTTTTTTTTTTCCTCTTCCCTTATTTATTTCGTCTTGTTGACAAACATACAGGTAACCTTCCTTTATGGTTCTCGGATTGTTAGGTACTCACAGCCTCTTCCCCCCTCTCTGCCTGCCTCTCTCTCTCTCTCTCTCTCTCTCTCTCTCTCTCTCTCTCTCTCTCTCAGGGGCTCACTTTCATTTTCTTGAAGAGGGGAAAGGAAAGAGGAAAACAAAACAAAACAGCATGCTGGCAACCTAGCAGAGGGGAGAGGGGCCCACAGGCGATGCCCAGAGGACAGAGGGGGAATGGCTCCAACCTTAACAAGAGCAAACAAATGTTTGTGACTCTGGGCAAGGGCTTTCCAGAGGACGGTGGGCAGCAGAGGGGCTCCCCATGAACGTGATCCTGCCAGAGAGAGACCCTCAGTTTTTCCCACGTTTTCTTCACAGGATTAGGGGGATTTGTGGCCGGGATGTGAAAATGCCTGTTCCCAGGTCAGCTTATTTTTTCCCTCATTCCCCAGTCACTCCATGGCATGTCCTGGACAGGAGAGGAGAGCACTTTCCCAATGGGCTATCCTTAGGCCCACCTCTTCCCTTTCTCAGCAGTGGACGTGATAAGGGAAATTCAGTTTCTATCAGTGCCAGACACCACAGATCCCCCACACATACACACAAAGCAGTCAAGAAACCAACACAGTCACTGGGCACAGAAGAGCCTCCAGCCTCCTCTACGAAGATGCAAAGCACATGAGCATGTCCCCACTGTCTGCTGCGGCTGCTGCCTCCAAACCGGGGGTTCTTTCAGTGGGTGGTGGGGGAAGGTATGGGCAGAAAGGGGACAGTATTTGTTTCCTGCTGGTACCGCCACCCCAAACTTTGATGGCCTTCTCAAGAGCCACCCAGGGCTATGCTAAACAGCTATACAGTAGTTAGCACCAAGCTATTTGGCAGATCCAATCAAGAGACTTAGAAAGCGAGCGAGCATTGCAGAGGAAGAACCAGATACAGGGAGTAATTGAGTGCACTGAGGGTCCGGAGATGCTCAGAAAGAAAGCTGGGCCCAACCAAATGCAAATGGCTCCTCACTGAAGAGGCATAATGCCCACTGCTCTTCCCTGCTAATGGGCAGTGATTGGCTGGAAATGTACTCAACAGCTCTGCCCCCAACAGCTACCCCTACAGGGAGGGATGATGGAAATCCATATTCATGAGGAAGCAAACAGCAACTGTTTACTAGGTGCAGAGAGGAGGCAGGGCTGGCCTGGCTGAGAATGAGGTCCCTGGAGAGCCATAATGAGGCTGGGAGCAGGGAAACCTGTGCTGTCAGACCCCCAGCCTAGCCCTCCCCATACAAACCCACCCCACCCCCCATTGGGTACATATGGCAGCTGAACCTGGGACTAAAGAGAACCCCCAATGTGGCAAATCCACACTTTACCGAGGCAGGATTTCCCCTGAGACAGTGGCCTCCATTTGTCTATCTGGGTGCCACCATCTCACAGCATCTCGTGTAAAAGTGCTCACTCACTCCTTTGCTCCAAACCCATCCTCCAAGTTCAGCATGCCTATTCCATGTGTCAGAATCGATGCAGAGCAATTGGCAACCAAAGGGACAGGTATAACATAGACATCTAAAAATGCATTTTGGAATCCCTCCATTACACACTGGGTTGTCTAAGCTAAAAAAAAAATAGCTTAGGGTTGAATAGTGTCTGTATTAGTCTGCTCAGGCTGCTATAACAAAATACCACAGACTGGGTGGTCTAAATCAGTGGTCGCCAACCTTTTGAACCTCACGGACCACCAGTTGGCGACCGCTGGTCTAAATGACAATAATCTATTTTCTCACAATATGGATGCTAGAAGTTCCAGATCAAGGTGATCAGTTGATGTCTCTACTTGGCTTGCAGATGGCTGCCTTCTTTTTTCTTTTCTTTTTTTTAAATATTTTTATTGATTTCAGAGATTAAGGGAGAGGGAGAGAGATGGAAACATCAATGATGAGAATCATTGATGGGAAGTCTCCAACAAACCCCCCATTAGGAATCTAACCTGCAACCCAGACCAGGAATAGAAT